AATCGTGCGGAAATATTAACACGAAAGGGGTGGAGTAATATTATTTTGGCAATAATCTTTATAGTTCAAATACAGGGTAGATCCTAAACATGGGTTTCAGAACAACATGCTGTGAATTGGAGATGTGACTTTCTGTTGCACAGCAACATGCAGTGTGCCAATAACTCTAGGCGCCAGCTTGTCAATTGCTGCTGGCATAAGGTGAACGCGCTGTCACTCAGGCCCCGCCCCCCTCCCGGGAAGCCGGTGCACAATGTACGCATGCCCAGCCCCTGCTCTCCACGGCAAACCTGAAAGCGGAAGCGTAATGACATCAATGATTGCCACCTCCACTAGCCAACCACCGATCGGGAAGTGGACAGCGCCTCCGTCGATTGGGCGCCCCTGTGTGGAGGTTCGGCCAATAGCAGGTAGAGGTCCGTGCCGGTTACGTGGGGGAAGAGGTGGGACTTGGCACGGTGAGGTCTGGTCGGGAATGTTCCTTTATTTACATCGGCTCCGGGTCGTCGTCGTCGTCGTCGTCGTCGTTTTCGTTTTCGTGAAAGTCTGGGACCCGCTCGGTTCTTTATCTCGCATTAAGTCCTGAGAGACAGAACAGAGGATCGCCGGTTTTGTAAGTGAACCCGGAATGTGTGTATGTGTGAGTGAGTGAGGTGGGCCGGCGAGTGGGGGAAGGGGTCCCCGGCCTATCCCAGCCCGGCCACCCGTCCCCTCAGTGCCCAGGATCCCCCTGACAGCTACAGTGCCAGAGGTATCCAGCCCTGGGGCTGTTGCCGCTGCAGCTGACGGCCACCTCGGCCCGGATCGTGTAAATGTGCCCCTCAGCAGGATGACACCCGTCACTCGGTCTTCCTGATGGTTACATGTAAATATATTCTTTTCCGTTACTGCTCTTGAAGATGCCGGTTGCCTTTCTGCAAATGTGCAGACCACCCTGGTTGTTGGGGGCTTTAGGGCTGAGGTTGACGTTGTCAGGATCCAATAGTAATACGAAACAGAAAGGGGGTCGGGGGGTGAAGAAATGGGAATCTCCCTATTTTTTTCCAGTCTTCAGCTTGGAAATACTGAAATCATTCTGTGCGCTCCTGGCCACAGCCCCTGGTTGAACTAGTTTCGCTGCAGATTGGAAGCTTTGCTTTGAAGCAGGAAGCACTGTAGCACATGGTGCGTTTATGTACTGAGTCACTCGGGGAAACCTTGACTTTTAAAAGTTATTTCTCCAAGAAATGATGTTTTCGTTTGAGGGAGTACACCCCTGGCAGACATCCGTGTTGCACTGACCACCTTACGCATTCGTTCCCTCCACCACCAGAGCAAAGTGGCAGCAGTGTTTACTGTATAGAAGTTGCACTGCAGCAACTCACCAAACCTCCCTTAATAGCTTGGTACCACTCACAAGGGCAACCGAGCAAATGCCAGAATGTTATCACTTGTAATTTTTTCCTCTAAGCCACACACTATCTTGCTTGGAATTATATTGCCATTCTTTCCAGGATGACCAGGTGGCGTATGGGGAGGGGTAAAAATAAGAGGCACAGCAGGGAGTTGGGAGGCTGCCATGGTAATGAAACTGTAGGTAGTAGGGTTGCTAGTGAGATTAGGGGAGCAGCCAGTTTGCTGTGCCCTTCTACTTGGTACTGCCTGGACTCTCATCAGCAGGAAGAGAAAGAGCGTTAATGGTTGGTTCCAATATGATGTTTCTTTGGAACTGAATGGTAAAACTAATGTCTGTTACAAACCCCTGACTCCTTTAGTTGCCTAGACTACACTTCCTCCCATCCTGCTTCCTGTAAGCACTCCACCTGTTCTTCCAGTTTATTTGTTGCACCTGTTTTGATGATGCCACTTTTTGAAGGGGAGCTTCTGACATTTTTTTCTTTTTTAGAGTCGTAGAGATGTACAGCACAGAAACAGACCCTCTGGTCTAACTCGTCTATGCTGACCAGATATCCTGAATAAATCTAGTACCATTTGCCAGTATTTGGCCCATTATCTGTTTAAACCCTTCCTATTCATATAACCATCCAGATGCCTTTTAAATGTTGTAATTGTACTAGCCTCCATCACGTCCTCTGGCAGCTCATTCCATACATGCACCACCCTTTGAGTGAAAAAATTGTCCCTTAGGTCCCTTTCCCGTCTCACCTTAAACCTATGCCTCGAGTTTTGGACTCCCTCATCCCAGGAAAAAGACCTTGTCTATTTATCCTATCCATGCCCCTCATGATTTTATAAACCTCTGTAAGGTCACCCCTCAGCCTTTGACTCTCCAGGGAAAATAGCCCCAGCCTATTCAGGCTCTCCCTATAGTTCAAAACGCCCAACCCTGGCAACATCCTTGTAAATCTTTTCCGAACCCTTTCAAGTTTCATAACAACCTTCCTATTAGCAGGGTGACTAGAATTGTACACAGTATTCCAAAAGTGGTCTAACTATGTCATCTACAGCTGCAACATGACCTTCCAACTCCTATTCTCAATGCACTGCCCAACAAAGGCAAACATACCAATTGCCTCCTTCACTATCCTATTTACCTGCGACTCCACTTTCAAGGAACTATGAACCTGCACTCCAAGGTGTCTCGGTTCATTTTTCTTCAACCTTAGATTCCTGTTATGGAGCTTGCTACTTCTGCCCTCAAATCTTTCCCTCTCTGTCAGAGCAATAATAGGGAAACCCCTGTGCATTTGCATTTAAAGGATCATCCTCTGCCATTTACATCACGTCCAGCAGGATGCCTCCACATCTTCCTCTCCCCTCCCTTATCAGCATTCTGCAAGGACCATTCCTTCTGCAACACTGTGTCTCTTCACCATCCTGTGGCACTTATTGCAATCAACATCCACAGTACTTTACCTCAGTATGTTACACAGTACCTCTGCAACAGTTATGTGTTGTTTTGTTCCGATGTACCAATTGTCCTTGTTCTTCTAAGTGGTAGTGGTTGTGGGTTTGGGAGGTGCTGTCTTAGGAACCTGAGAGAATTTCTGCACGCATCTCGTAGATGGTATACACTGCTGCTACTGTACGTCAGAGGTGTAGGGGTGTGGACCAAATCAAGTGGGTTGCTTTTTCCTGGATAGTGTGGAGTTTCTTCAATGCTGTTGGAGCTATGCTCATCCAAATAAGTGGGGAGTATTCCATCACATCCCTGACATGTGCCATGTAGATGGTGGACCGGGTTTAGGAGTCAGCAGGTGAGTTACTTGCTGCAGGATTCCTAGCCTGCTACCAGTTCTTGTAGCCACAGTATTTAGATAGCTAGATCAGTTCAGTTTCTGGTCAGTGGTAAGCCTCAGGATGTTGATAGTGGGAGATACATTCAGTGCATTAAAATATATAATCTAAATGTATTTAGAGTTTTTTTCTTAATTGAGTACATTAGACTGTAGAACATTGAAAAGTTTGTCAATGTAAGACTTAAGAAGGAAGTAAATTTTGCCTCTGAGAATTCAGATTTTTGTTAGGGGACTGGGATTGGGTTCTGTTATGGTTCTTTCATGGCACAGTTGAAAACAGGACAGCCCTGGACAGGTTCTGACCAGTAAGGCTGGCTTAAAAGCAAACACTTTTTTTTCTCTTATTGTTAATGTTGACAGCTTAGACCTTCAAACATTCACAAACTGAAAACTTCACTCTGACAAAGGCAAATCATCTCTTTGGTTGTTACAAGGTGGTATGTTATTTTAAGAACAAAATAAAATCAATGGCTTGAATTCAATACATTTTTAAAATTTACTGTTCAGTTGGATAAATCTAATGACTTTTTAAAAGAAAATTACATGGGAATTTAATCATGTAATGTGCCATCCCTTGTGTGACGGTATTGGTGAGCCACGTTCTTGAACCACTGCTTCAGTTACTTTCACAATGCCTTTGGGTAGAGAGTTTCATCATACTGAACCAGCAACAATGATGTTTCCAGGTCAGGGTGACGTATGACTTGGAGAGAAATTGCAGCTGGTGGTTTTCCTAGTCCTTAATCCTTAATGGTGGTGGAGATTATGATTAAGGATTTATCCTGGGATTTGATGTTAATGGGAGGGGGAGGAATATGCTGGGTTATGAGAATACAGATTGTCTTGGAATTCAGTTCTGCTGTTGCTGCAGGCCGATGGTATCTCCATGTACAGTTTTTAGCTGCTTGATCTGTTCTGAATCTATCCTATACAGTACATTTCAAAAGAGGGTGCAACAATGAGATTTTGGACTGCAATCACTCAGGCCACCACTTGGGTAGATGTAACTGCAGCAGATAGATTGAAGAGCACAGGGCCAATTATCTTTTCTCATGCTGGTATTCTCACTAGCTTCCACTGTTTGTTAGTTATATTCGTCATGGCTTGATCAGTTCTGCCAAAAATCATTCTTGATGATCGGCGTGGGAAGTCCTCCATTCAGAATATCTTCTGTGTTGTTACTGCCCCTCAGGGTTTGTTTCAAGTGATGTTTGACATGGAAGAGTATTGATCCACCAGCTTGAGGGAGAGTGATAACTACTAATTAGCCGGAGGTTTCCTTACCTGCATTTGACCTGATGCCTTGAAACATTGTGTCCCACTTTCAGCACACACCCAGAAATGCTGTTGGAGAAGGGTGGAATGTGGGCTGAAAAATGTGAATCTGACAGTAGACTGCCATATTGTTGCTTGACCTGTCTGTTAGGTAGTTCTTGGCCTTTTCAGAACACAGTTAAGATTCAACCACATTGCTGTAGTTCTGGAGCCACTAAATATACCCTTTTTGGTTAAGAACAGCAGGTTCCATAAAGCATGTGAGTGAACCGGATGAGTTCCTACTCTTTTAAGCTGTACATAACAAAAATGGTTAGGCAGCCACTGATTGGATACAAACAAAAGTACACACTAATGAAAACTTATTTAAGGTGAACTGAAACTTAAAATCGAAATAACATTGTTCAGGGTGATGATGCATCTCAACCCTTTTGATACCTGTCAGCCTCAGTTGGCCTTTATCATGCTGGTGAACATTGCATGCCCCTTCTCAGTGGACACCTGACTATGGACATAATTTTGAAAGAAGGGCACATAGGCACATGATCTCCTCCATGGCTCGCTGCCTGGACCTGATAATGGCCCTCTGGCTGTCTGCCTGTCCATGGGGTGCCCAGAAAGCATAAGCATGGAGCTGAAGTGCAATCAAAAATTGAGGATCAACCCCTTCAAAAAAACTAAAGTAGGGCTACAGATGAAGAGTTTCAACTTAAACATGAAAAACAGTTTCATCCTGGCCCCAAATCACTACATGTGGCCTGTCACCCGGTGTAATGAATAACTTATGATTGATTGGGCCTGCTATATGCAACTCTTCCCCTAGATCCCCAATGGAAAATGGAAGGGCCCCTTTTATAGAGGGCTTTCCACTGGGAATCTCAGCTGCCAGAGGGTAAAACATTATGCCAAGGTGTATCTGAGTGGTGGGCAAACATGAAGTGGAGAGTATGCTGCAACAGTCCATTTGCAAATGTCACCATGCCATCCTGAAAGGCACAGGCCATTTCTCTGAGACTGCTCGGATTATGGGGTGCCACATCAGGGTCGGTGTCGAGTTCTGGACAGAAAGAGGTCTGTTTGTCTGGAAGTCCACCTTGTTTTTGAATGTAAATTCCTTCAGCCGCCATGGTAGAATTTAAATTGTTTTGAGATCATTAATCCAGACCGCATGATTATTAACGCTGTAACCAAACTGGAATATTCTTGTGTCTATAAATTTGCATTTGCACTTAAAACAGTTATAAATTTTTGCTTAATAAGTCGTGTGTATGATTCACCCCTTCTTTGTATTTTGTGTCAAAACAAAAAAGTCATAAAATAGTTGGAATAATATTAAAATACTTTTTTTCTTTTCAGATATCCAGTTTAATGATCCAGTGAGAAATGCTATTTGCCTGAAGAATTTGTTTCTGCTGCAAAATCTATTTAATATGATCAGCAGAATGAAAAGTAGATATCTTTCCTGGCCTTTACAATCATAACAAGTTAACTTTTGCGATACAGTCATCACGTTTAAGTTAAAACTTGCATCATGTTGAGTTCTGCTACGTGGAACAAAGAGAAATCCAACGTGACACTTCGAGATGAACCTAAGTATTATTTGGTTGCTCAAGAGTGTAATGCAATTAATAAACATACTCAAATGCCATTGAGAATAGTAAGAGGCAGCATGTTAATGCTTCATGATCGTGGTCCTCCACTATCAAACATTCATAGTAACAAAAATAAGAGAGGGATTGTCACTGTGCAATGCTTAGAACAACCATATAACACCATGCTTGTTGAAGAAAAAGATTTGCAAGAAATTGAGGGGAGGGTGGCTGAATTGCTTTTAGCTGTTTCAACCTGTGAGGAGAGGCATGCTCTGTCCAAAAACAAGCCAAAACTGCAGAAAGCACTCCAAATTGATTACGATTCAAAGGTTAAAGTTCAACTGCGGGCCGGAGGAGAAAAACTGCCTGGTATTGTACGATTCAAGGGCTCATTGTTGCAGAGCAAGTTGCTGTGTGAATTGTGTTTTGGAGTGGAATTATTGGTAAGTACTCGCGTTATTTTCTGTTTCTTCTGTTTAATAAGGTAAATGATTGTAAAATGTAAAATGGAGTTGGATAAGAGACAACAAGATGTAGAGCTGGCTGAACACAGCAGGCCAAGCAGCATCAGAGGAGCAGGAAAGCTGACGTTTCAGGTCTGGACCCTTCTTCAGACCCTGTTTCCTACTATCTCTGAGTTGGATAAGAGATGTGTCTTTCCCTTCTAATTTAGGTATTCAGTAATTAGAGACCACGATACTTAAATTGACTCCTCTTCTGTATTTACAAGTCATCCTGCATACCTGCTCTGAAAAAGCCAACGATTTTCTTAGTTTGTGGAGTCCAATGGAATGTGCTGAAGTCATTATTCTACATCCATCTGAAATAATCCTGAATGAAGATAGGAAATTAAAATCTTAGTAGACTACTCAAGTCTTTTCTTCAAATAAGTTGAAGCAGGTGTTTTAGTACAGTTATCATTTGCAGGTTCTGCCTTCGAGGCATCTTGTCATTTTTAATTCATGGCTGTTTTGAAAATCTCTTCTTTTTTTTGTACTTTTCTCCCCTTTTAAGATGGGATGTTCAGGCAGCATGACATGGTGTGGTAGACAAAGGACCTGTGCGGTCAGCTGCTCTCCGTCGCCCACGTGCTCACTCGCACAAGTTCGTCCAATCTGTCTCATGCACTCTGCTCCTCTCTCTCTCTTTCCACCTTCCTTCTTTGGCATGTGCTTGCCTACTGTCTGGTGCTTGCCTACTGTCTGGCACTTGTGTACGCTCTTTGTCTCACACTCATCCTCCATCTGTTTCTCGAACTCTGTCTCTTTTTCACAGGCCTTTGAAAACTCTCTTTCGTGTGTGCTTGCCTACTGTCTGGCACTTGCGCTCTCTGTCTACCGCTCATCCTCTGTCTCTCTCTTCTGTGCTGATCCTCTCTCGTGCGCCTGACTTCTCACTCTCTTGTGCTTGAAATCTCTTTTGCCTGTGCTTGCCTTCTCTCACACTGTCTCTCTCTCACATAAGTGCGCCTGCCTGCTCTCTTTCATGTGTTCGCCTTCTCTCGGGCGCTTGCTACCCCTCTTGCACAATTTTGTACGTGCACACCCTTCCTGTCTGTCTCATGTGGGTGCTCACTTACCCTCACTCTCTCTCACGTCCTGCCTTGTTGTTAACCCTCGCTCTTGCACTGTCTGCCTGTCGTGCAAGCTCTTCTCTCTCTGTCTGTCACATTGTCTCAACCTGTCTCTCACGCATGGTCATCCTCTCTGCCATATGCACGCTCACTCTTTGTAATGAGGTATGCTCACTCTCTCTCTGTTGCGTTCACTCTCTTTCGTGTGCATGCTCACTTTCTCTCTTGTGTGCTCATCCCATCTCCCTTGTGTGCGCTCGCCCTCTACCTCTCGTGCACTTGCTCACCCTATATCTTGCAGGCAAGCATGAAACCTCTGGCACATGCGCTCACCACTTTCTCTGCCCTGTGCCCTCTCTCTGTCTCTTTGTGACCCTCTCTTGCTGTCTGTCACACCATCTTTATTTCTCTCACCCTCTCTCTGTCTTCTGTTCCGGAAGAAATAGGGGTGAAATTATGTAAGATGATGTGTCTGACGGTTATACTTACATTTCAGTGCACATACTGACGTTACAGGAAATTGGAGTTGCTATGACCAGTTGACATGGAAAAATCTCCAAATGATAATTGAAGTTTTTTTATGATCTTTCTTTTAATGAAGTACTAGACCTATGTAGTTTTCATATGACATACGTTCTTCTTATTTGTGAACTGAAAATAACCATGAGAATGTTGAGTCTGCTATGGACCAGACTGCACCCTCAAATATATTCAGAAGATAGCCTAGACCCTAACTTTTTTATCTTAAAGGCAAGTGTCAGGCATTGCGTTCTGGCTGAAAATCAATTGGTCGAACTACCGATTTAAATCACAACACGCTTCATTCATGCATTATAGTTAAAATACAACAAAATACAGAAGAAATTGGAATAATTAAGTTTTCCAGTAGGATTAACAGAATAATAGATGATTTGACTGCTAAACAGTAACTGTTCCAATATAGTAACATCCCAATAAAAACACCTTTGGCAAAGGCAAATTTAGTAAAATAGATTGTCTCACAGGCAATTCTCCGGTCTAGGAGGACAAAACATCAAGAGTAAACCGAGAAAGAGAAGCAGGAAGAGAGATTCTGCAGCTTCCAAATCCAGCTTCAAGATCCTAGCATCTGCTACAGAAAAAAAAAAATAAAATCCTGGCTCTACCAGCGACAAAGTTGAAAGGAAATGGGGAATAAATAATCTTTCGAAAATGGAAGGTGGGCAAAATTCCAGGCCCATATCCAGTCTAAACTAAAAGCAGAAAATACTGGAAATAGAAAGCAGATTGGTCAGTGTCTGTTGTCTGAGTCACATGAAATATTGACTGTCAGACATTTTCCTGATATAAGTATTGCCACAGATTCTGTTGTGGGTTCAGAAAGACTGTAAGCTACTTAAGTGCCATGGAACTCACATTGTATAATCATCTTTGTTCTGTGATGGGAAATGTCTGCTGTCAGGAACTTGTCCAGTTTCATTTGTGAATGTTTTCAGTGAATGTGCCCTTGCAGGTTTCTATCTCCATAGGGCAATAACACTTGGAAAAACAAATGAATAAATCTAATATACTTCTATGCTTGAGGAAAGTATGTTGTCTCTGTTGGTGCTCCTTACCTATCCAAACTAAATGCTTTTTGTACATGAGCCGAATGTAATCCTTTCATTATTCTAAATATCGTGGTTGTCTGTACTTGTTTTAGAGTTTTAAAAAAAGGCACATTTTAATTTCTATTCTGGGAATTATGGATTTTTAAACTGGATGTCAGTGGTCTTTCACTGTACCTCTTCAAAGATTTCTACATTATTTGCAATAAGTGGATCAAAACTGGCCACATTACTTAAAGGAAGTGGCTGCAAAAATAATGGAGACATTGATTGTAATCTTTCAAAATTCCCTCAATTCTGGAAGGGATTAATTTAAAAATCACAAATGTAACATCTTCAAGAAAGAAGAGAGAAGGAAAATGATAAGCTAGTTAGCCTAACTTCTGCCTTTGTAAATGTTGGAATCGATCCCAGCCATCGTCTGGTCTCAGGTTTGGGAGATGCGATGTCCTTGTGATATTATCGCTGTTAATCCAGAGATCCAGGTAATGTTCTGAGCACTCGGGTTTGATTGCCACCATGGCAGATGTTTGAATTCAATAAAAGTCTGGATCTCCAGAGTCTAATAACCACTGTCAATTGTCAGAAAAATCTGTCTCGTTCACTTATATCTCTTAGGGAAGGTAACTGCCATCCTTATTTGGTTTGGCCTACATGTGACTCCAGACCCACAGCGATGTGGTTGATTCTTAGCTGCTGTCTGAGCAATTAGGGATGGGCAATAAATGCTGGCCTGGCCAGCGATGCCCACGTCCTGTGAATGAATTTTTTTTTAAAAGTACCAAGACCATTCAGATCTGTATTAGTAGAGAAATAGTGTTGGAGAAGTTGGTGGCATTGAAGGCTGATAAATTGTCAGGGTCTGATAATCTGTATCCCAGAGCACTTAATGAAGTGGCCCTAGAAATAGTGGATGTATTGGTGGCCATCTTCCAAGATTCTTGAGACTCTGGAACAGTTCTTTCAGATTGGAGGATAGCTAATGTAATCCCACTGGTTTAAAAAAATATGGTGGAGAGAAAACAGGGAATTATAGACCAGTGAGTCTGATACCAGTAGTGGGGAAGATGCTTCAGTTCGTTATCAAGGATTTTATAGCAAAGCACTTAGAAAATAGTGGTAGACTGAGATACAGTCAGTATGGATTATAAAAAGGGAAGTTACACCTAACAAATTTATTGGAATTCTTCATGTATTTAACTAGTTGAGTTGATCAAGGGAAGCTGGTGGACATGGTTTATTTGGACTTTCAGAAAGCTATTGACGAAGTCCCACCTATGCGAATAGAGTGTAAAATTAATGTGCATGGGATTTGGTGTGGAGTATTGAGATGGATAGAAAATAGATTTGCAGACAAAACAGAAGGAATAAATGAGACAACAAGGTGCAGGGCTGGATGAACACAGCAGGCCGAGCAGAAAGGCTGACGTTTCGGGCCTAGACCCTTCATCAGAAAACGTCAGCCTTTCTGCTCCTATGATGCTGCTTGGCCTGCTGTGTTCATCCAGCCCTTCATCCAGCCCTGCACCTTGTTGTCTCGGATTCTCCAGCATCTGCAGTTCCTACTATCTCGGAAGGAATAAATGGGCTTTTTCTGCATGGCAGGCAGTGACTTGTGGAATACAGGTACAAGGACCCCAGCTATTCACAATATATGATAATGATTTAGATGCGGGAACTAAATGTAATATCTCAATTTGCAAATGAGACAAAGCTGAGTGGAAGGATGCATTGTGAGGACAATGTAGAGATGTTGCAGTGTGATTTGGACCATGTGAGGGAGTGTGCAAATGCATGACAGATGCAGCATTATTTAGATGAATATGAGATTATCCACTTTGGTTGCAAAAATAGGAAGGCAGATTATTATTATTATTTGAATGGCTGTAAATCAAAAGACAGGCATGTTCAACAATTCATGAATATCCTTGTGCAGCACTTGCTGAAAGTCAGCATGTACATGTAGCAGACCATAAAGAAGGCAAATGGTCTGCTGGCGTTCATAGCAAGAGGATTTGAGTACAGGAACAAAAATGTCTTGCTGCAAGTGTCCAAGTCATTGGTGAGGCCACACCTGAATATTGTGTGCAGTTTTGGTCTCCCTACCTGAGAAAGGATGCTCTTGTGGTAGAGAGTGCAGTGAAGGTTTACCAGATTAAATAGGCTAAAATTTGGCAGATGGAATAAAATGTACGAAATAGGTTGTCCACTTTTGTAGGAAGAGCAGAATAATGTGTAAACAGAGAAAGACTGTGGAATGCTGCTGTGCAGAGTTATGAGTGTCCCTGTACATGTATGACAAAAAGTTAAGCATACAGCAGGCAATGTTCCCCTCTTATTGCAAGAGAGATGAAGTATAAAGGAAGGGGAACCTTGCTACTATAGATGACATTGGTGAGATTGCACCTAGAGTATCATGTATGAGTGTACCTACTTGACAAGGGACAAACTTGCATTGGAAGCAGTTCAGACAGAGTTCACTAGCTGATTCCTGAGATGAAGAGGTTGGATTATGAGGAAAGATTGAGCAGGTTGGGTGTACTCATTAGAACATGGAAGAAGTGATGCCACTGAGACACATTAGATTCTGAGGGATTTGATAGGATAGATGCTGAGAAGGTGACGACAACACCCTCCCTCCCCATGGAATCTAGAACTAGGGGACAGTTTACAAATAATGCAGAGGAATCACTTCTCTCAAAGCATTGTTAGTCTTCAGAATTCTCTGCTCCAGAGAGTTACTAAATATATTCAGCAGTAAATTACGCAGTGGTTTTGATCTACAAAGGTCTCGAGCATTATACAGGTGGGGTTTGCAGCATAAAAATGGGACTAAGGCCTAAGCCATAACCTTTTTTTTTTTAAAAGGTGCGGCAAGCTGGATGGGCTAAATACTTACTCCTGCTCCTGTTTTGAATGATCTTACATTTTCCACGAGACCTAACCAGAGCCTTACGTGATGAAGGCAAAATTCTTTTCTTTTTGTTCTGTATTTAATTATCCTGGCAATTATCTGCTTTTATAATACCTCACCCTGTCTTTCTCTTGCTTAAGAGCTATGGGGTCACAGTCGAAGGAGACGGGGTAGGCCATTTATGACTGAGATAAGAAGAAATTTCTCCCAACAGAGTGGTAAACTGTGGAATTCTCTGCCACAGAAAGCAATTGAGGCCAAAACTTTGAATATTATTAAGAAGTAGTTAGGTATAGTTTTTATGGCTAAAGGGATCAAAGGGTATTGGGGTGGAAAGCAGGAATGGTACAGCTGGCTGAGCAGGCTCGAAGGGCTGAACAGCCTACTCCTGTTTTTCTTTTATTTTTATATTTCAACTAATCTTGTTCTGTATAAATGCTTGACATTGGGACTACCTAAAATAGTACATTTATGATATTTGTTTGCCAGAGGCCGACCCATTTCTCCCAATGCGTCTGTCTGTTATCCTGACTTCTATTTTGTGTCGGTTGTTGTTTAAGTTGCATCTACTTTGCTCTGCTGCATTGTTTGCACCACTTATTTTTTTTTCTCAATCATGATGCATTTGGTTTTAGTGAGTTCAGTTTTCCTGTTTATGTTTGTATGGTGTCAGAAAAAATTCTATAAATTAAGTTCTCCAAACTATTCCATGTGCTTTAATTGTGTTATTTTAGTCACTGTTTCTGTGGTGTACTGTTTTAGGATGGTCTGTCATCACATTCTTTTGAAACATCAAGATAAAATGGTTAGACAGAACAGATCTTGATTTCCAATGTATAATGCCCTAGGAAGTAAAATGATTAATAAATCAGCTGATGACCTTAAATCCCCTAGAATCTAGGAAGTAGTTTTGTAGTGTTTAAAATGAGTTTCTTTTGGACTTTCCCCTCACAATATTGACGTATGGTATCCTGTCAGTGTTACTTTGTTCTTTTCTCAATGTTATCCGAAATGTGTTATGGTGCCGTAGCACACCATGTGGGCTAGTCAGTACTTAGACCTGTTTTCACCTTGATTTGTATTCTGATCCTCTGTTACTGCAACACATCTTGTTTGTTTTTACTGAAGCTAGCTAATGGTTCCAGCAGCTATTTTTTAAGCACAATACACAATCTCTTTTCTGATGAGCAGAGTACATGTGTGTATGCTTATTACTCTGATCACTTGCTCCCAATATCATCATTTTACACTCGCCTCAAATTAATTTGTAATCTCTGAATCAAGTTTCCTTAAGTGACTTGTTTGAAATTTAGAACTTATTTTTGCTTACTTTCTTAAACTTTACCATATGTTTGAAACCCTTATCCAAGTCATTTAGACCTATATATTTGAACTTTTTGCATATGTAGGATCACATTTCAAAGGTTCACATTGAAAGGTGTTACCAGGGCAAAATATTAGGATTACTTAAAATATTCTGTGGTCTAAATGCAAAGTATAATAATTGGGAGAATTTTGCTGACTGACTAAATGCATGAATGGATAAGAAATAAGTAGGAAAAATCTATTAGAATTCTTAGGTCTTCACATTCTTCTTGTTTTTTTTAAGTGATCTGAATGTCTTGTGTTCTCAGAAATCTGTATTGTCTAGTAAACAGGTATGTAATGGTAGGATGCCGGAGTTATCTGAACTGGATATTGTCTTTCTCGTGCGTTTCTCTTGCATGAACTAAAACATTTGGTATACTTTTTTTCCCATTTGGAGAATTCAGCAATAAACCTGTCAAAACAAAAATGAGTACCTTGGTTATTAAAGGGAATGCACTGTATGTCCTACAATGAATGGGAACTGCCCTGGGGAGAGACAGTTGATCTTCTTGCATCAGAAGTGGAAAAACCTGTGACATTCCTGAGTTAGTTCATTTGGCTTTAAAACTCATCATCAATGCTTGGAACTTGTTGATTTATTTTTTAGCTCTGTAGGCAGTCACTTGGGTTTGGAATGCAGAATTATTTTCTCACATAATGTAGCGCTGAATCAAACAACTGTTTTCCCACTATGTTTTAATTGTTGGCCATTGAATGCCATTGTACATCCTGTTATAGCAGGATTATGATAGTTTGTTTATGGATAAAAGTTTCCTTAGTATAATAGCTTTGTTTCTCCATTCATTTGCTTCTAGAGTCTATTTTGTTAATGTCTCTTATTTAACAGGAAGAAGGCAGGAATCAAGGCTACACAGATGGCTCGTACAAAGGAAAGCAACTCTTTTGCTGTGATGATGATTGTGGAGTTTTTGTTCCTTTCGACAAACTGGAACTTGTTGAAGAGGAAGATGACGCTGATCTCGAATCTGGCAGTGATGAAATGTTTTTGTATAGTGGCAAGTCTGCCATAGAAATTAACTCGAGGGTGTCTACCGTTATTGATGATGAAGTTGTGTATGGAACAGTCGTATTCTGTGGCCTGCTGTCAGGAAAAGAAGACTATGGCTATTTTCTAGGTGTTGATATGGTGAGTGTTTATAAGTGTTTATGATTTTGTGTCTGCTGTGGAATATGTTTTGCTGCTATATTTACAACCAGTTGTAGCATGTTTCTGTGGGTGAGCATAAACTAATATTTTTGCCTTTTAGGAACTATTGAGCCTAATTTCGTAGAATCCCTACAGTGTGGAAACAGGCCCTTCGGCCCAACAAGTCCACACTGAACCTTGGAGCATCCCACCCAGACCCATCCCTCTATAACCCACCTAATCTACACCTCCCTGAACACTACGGGCAATTTAGCATGGCCAATCCACCTAACCTGCTCATCTTTGGACTGTGGGAGGAAACCAGAGCACCCGGAGGATGGTGCAGAAAACTGCACGGCTTTCTCAATTTAAATTTTTTTAAAATTTGTTCATGGGTGTCACTGGCAAAGTCAGCATATTCTCCATTCCCAATTACTCTTGAACTGAGTAGCTTACTAGGCTATATAGAGGGCAGTTCAGAGTCATCTGTATTGCCATCAGAATCTGCAGAAGGGTCACTGGACCTGAACGTTAACCCTAATTTCTCCCAATAGATGCTGCCAGACTTGCTGAATTTTACCGGCAGTGTCTTTTTTTTTGTCTCTCGCACTCTCGCCCCCACCCACTCAGTTGCCTATGTCCCCAATTGCTTACTGCATGAATGAGGCTACCAATCCAACTTGGATGTTAGTGCCATTGTTGAGCCAAGGTTCATATTACTCACTGCTTTATGCAAAAGTATTCAAAAATCAATGGATGTTGACCAAGACAACAATTTATTTAAAACAAAGTCTTTTCCTGCCCTGGTCTTTGAAAGCTGCTCATGGGGGACAGCTTTGTGGTTACAATTTTGCCATCTGTAATCACTGAAGTCTCTCAATACCAGTTTAGTTGGGAAGATAAATCTGAAAGAATGTTCTAAACTAAAGGGGAACTATGAGGGATAAAGGAGAATGCAATACGGCATCATATTGTATTGTTCTATGGATGGGATGCATTGTGCATTCTTCCTCTCTTTTTTTTTTCTTTGGTTTGTCTTTGTTAAAATTTTTACTACTACTTATTTCAGTTGGAAAAACATAATGCTGCATTTTTGACTTTAAACTACTTGATCATGCTGACTATCATAGTAACATGCAAATATACTGTTAGAGACAGAGATAGTAGGAACTGCCGATGCTGGAGAATCTGAGATAACAAGGTGTCGAGCTGGATGAACACAGCAGGCCAAGCAGCATCAGAGGAGCAGGAAAGCTGATGTTTCAGGTCTGGACCCTTCTTCCATCTGTCATAGGTTCTGTCCCTTTCTCCAGTGTTCAGCAGGTATTAGCAAATATTATTACAGATCTTGACAAATGGCTTCAGTGTCCCCTGCACAACGAAAAGAAAGGTTCCTTGTTCCTGATTGCTGACTAGTGATCTTCTGTTAGAAGTCTTGGATACGTAGACCTTCAGGCACTAATAGAATTGTTCTGAAGCATTCCGCTGTTCAGCTTGAAGAACTTGACTGTGTGTTCATAGTGAGCTCATACATAAACACTTGGATGAGGGCTAGAAGGTTGTCGATAGCAATAACTTGTATCTTGAAATAAACCATTGGAAGTGAAGTCTCGTTGCTTGACAACTCTGTTTGTGCTTCTGCAGCAAAGACATACAATATTCCTTTTTCTTGAGGAAAACCTCTAATGAGGTAAGCATTTATGTTAAAGTTTTCCTTTTAATAAATATTTCTTCTCATTTTGATTCTCTTGACAGATGTCAACTTCAAATAAGCTTTTAATTTACCTCCCTTTGCCCGTTAGTATAGCACCGATGCACAGCTTAGAGAAAGATTTGCATTCCATCTATGCTTCTCTCCCGTTGGAACAACATATAGACCCTTTATTGTATCTTTCCCATGGTATAGGCATAATTGGAGATAGTTAAGGGAATCGTGGGTGTAAATCTAAGCCCTTTTTATCTTGCGGAAAGAAAATAAATTGTTACCATCAGTTTTCATGTTCCTCTTGATACAACTTAATTTGTACTTAAAGTAAGATATTTTTGAAGCGTTAAGTGTTAAGATGTTTAGTGTAACCTTTTAAATGAGATACTGGATTTGCTGGTCTTCTGACTAATATTTTGATAACTTTGAGAAATCATAAATTTGAGTATTAGATTTATTAACTGTCTACTTGCAGACAAATAAAAGTTTTAGTTGCTAGTTCATCCATCCAGAAAGATTGTAAAGACTGCCCATTCCGCATTCTGACATTTCGTTGCTTAAATGAATCCGTAGATTTGCCTTCACTATTATACATTTTCAGATGCTTCCTTTCTAAACTGAAAAACACAAGACTCTCCAGCACTTCTGGACAAGTCTGACATCACAAATAAACCTTGTGACTCTGTACTGCCTTCAGCGCTTGGATGGTCTCTGGGTGGCCCTAGTTAGGTGCAAATTCAAGATGCAGTCTGACCAGTGCACGGTACTGTAAAGCTTGATCACTACCTCCTGTGTCATGTATTATATAGTTTTAGCAGTGCAGTTTGATATCCTATTTGTTCTGCTACAATGGATTGGTAGACTTGTGTATTAACAAATCTCCCAGGATGCTTTGGTTTTTTGTTTTGACTCCTTCCTTGTGTTATTTCAGCACCATTCACAACCCATGTCACTCAATTTTCCATTTAGAGATCATAAGAACTGCAGATGCTGGAGTCAGAAATAAGTGTGAAGCTGGAGGAACACAGCAGGCCAGGAGCATCAGAGGAGCAGGAAAGTTGATGTTTCAGTTCAGGACCTTTCTTCAGAAATGGGGAGGGGGAACATGCGGTGGAGGGGATATTGCGGTCCTTAAAAAAGGAGGACATCTGGGATGTGCAGGAGATGTCCTCCTATTTCAAGGACTGTAACTTAGCCCCTTCGGTGATTGAAAATGCCCTCAACCGCATCTCTTGCGTTTCCTGCACCCCTGCCCTCACATTTTCTCCTCTTGCCCTGCCCCCCCACAACAAAAATAAAGACAGAATCCCCCTTTATCCTCACGTATCATCCTACCAATTTCCACATCCAACGTGTAAGTCTCCACCACTTTAGTCACCTACATTCCGACCCCACAACCAAAGATATATTTCCCTCCCCACTACTATCTGCCTTTTGTAGGGACTGTTCTCTCCGCAACTCCCTCGCCTGTTCTACACTTCCTCACTAACCCCATCACCCCCAGCACCTTTCCCTGCAACCACAAGTGGTGCTATACCTGCCCCTACACCTCCCCCCTTACCTCCCCCTCATCTCCATTCAAGGCACAAAACAAACCTTCTGGATTAGACAGAGGTTCACCTGCACATCCGTCAACATGGTCTACTGCATCCGCTGCTCCCGACGCGGCCGCATCTACATTGGTGAGACAACGGAGGCTTGGAGCCGTTTTGTAGAGCATCTGCACTCTTTCCACAACAAACGACAACACCTTCAGGTTGTGAACCCTTTTAACTTCCTCTCCCATTCCTTTTAACTTCCTCTCCCATTCCCTGGGTGACATTTCCATCCTGGGCCACCTCCAGTGTCACAACGACGCCATCCGCAAACTGGAGGAGCAGCACCTCATATTCCGCCTCGGAATCTAGTGGCCTAAACGTGGAGTTTACCAGTTTCAAAATCTCCCCATCCCTGGCATCATCCCATGATCAACCCTCTCATCCCTGCTTTCTTGACCTGACACAACTTGTCCATCTTCTCCTCCACCTATCCACCCTTCCCACCTCACTGACCAATCCCCACCTACCTGTACTCCCCTATCACCATGCCACCTACCTTCCCCAGCCCCACCCCTACCCTCTCTCTTTATTTCTGAGCTCCCTTCCCCCTCCACATTTCTGATGAAGGGTCCTGAATCGAAACGTCAATTTTCCATCCAGTTCATTTTATATTTACATTGAATTTATTTGCCATTATTCTGCCTATTTAAATACTTTGTTCAACTTATTCTCCAACTTCTGAGCCACCCCATCCAATTCCATGTCTTTTCCAGTTTGCTTTTGTCAGCATTTTTCACTACTTTGCATTGAGTTGCTGAATTTGATCTGATGCCATTGAAACAGTGCTGAATCCAATACTGAGCCATGAGTCAGTCAATCAGCAACTTTTTCCCTTGGTACAACACTCCCACTTCTCCCCACTTCATCATATGCGGTCCTTAAGTGTTGGTGAGGGAGTGAGAAAGGAGGAGAATGCATTATTGCAGTAAAAGTTTGAGAGAATTAAGAGACGAACTGGGAGTATAGTGTAGGGTGGCACAATAGCTCAGTGGTTCGCACTGCTGTCTCACAACACTAGGGACCCAGGCTCAATTCCAGCCTTGGGTGACTGTGCAGACTCCACACAGATATTCTCCCTGTGTTTGAATGGGTTTCCTCCCACAGTCCAAAGATGTGTAGGTTAAGTGGGGGGGTGGGGGGAGGTGCTAGGTCTGTGAGGGATGCTTTTTGGAGGGTTGGTGTGGACTCGATGGGTTGAATGGCCTGCTTGCACACTGTAGGGTTTCTATAATTTTACAGTTCCAACAACATTGGAGAAGCTTGGCACCATCCAGGAAAGATCAGCTTTCTTGTTTGGCACCACATCCATCATCTTAAACATTTATTCCCTCCACCAAAAATTCACAATGTTAGCAATGTCTACCATTTGGAACTGGTGCTACAGAAGGTTGCCAAATCGCTTTCATCAGCACCTTCAAACCTGGAAACTCTAACACCTAGAAGAACCAGTGTACCAGATGCATGGGAACATCACTATCTGCAAGTTCACCTGCAAGACAACCTGAAGGAGGAGTGAGGCTGTGAAAGCTTGTCTTTTCAAATAAACCCATTGGACTATAACCTGGTGTTGTGTTTTTTTTTAACCTTGTCTACCCAGTCCAACACCAGCATGTCCATATCATTGGAAATATATTGCCATTCTTTCATTGTCGCTGTTTGGAATGGACAATAAGTGCTGGCCTATCCGACAATGTCCACATCCGGTGAACAAATAACAAAATAACAATAGAATCAAATTAGAGAGAAGACAAATCCCCTAAAAGGAGGGGGAAAAAAAAGTCAGCTGAAAGCCATAGCCATAAAATAACTACACGTCTATGTAATATTTATTAATCATTAAAGAAATACATACTTCTGCGTTGCTTTTAACCCTTGAGCAATGGAAGAGTGCTGCTTAATATAATATAAAAATATACTATTAAAATTTTAAACTGTAATGGAGAGAGATACAGAATTAATGTTTCAAGTTCTGAAGAAGAGTCCTATTGGACTCAAAGTTAGTGCTGTTTCTTTCTCCACAGATGCTGTCAAACCTCCTGCGTTTCTGTAGCCTTTCTAACATCCACAGCATTTTCCTTTTATTAAAATGTTAATGTTTCTGTTTTCAGGATAATGTTTTAGGTGATTGGGATGGCACATGGGAAGGAAAAATGCTGTACAATACTTCGCATGGAAAGATCTCCCTTCTATGGATAGAAGATGTAAAGCTAGGTATATGCCTTTGCACATTTAATTTTCCAATGATCTTGCATTTAGTTCATATTCAAAGTAAGTAGAGAAGATTAACTATGTTGTGTGAATTTCAGTTACGTTATGATTCAAGATGGCATTACTGGACAGAATTAAAAACTAAAAGAACTGCAGTTGCTGTAAATCAGTGACAAAAATGGAAATTGCTGGGAAAGCTGAGCAGGTCTAGCAGCTTTTATGGGGAGAAATCAGAGTTAACGTTTTGGGTCTACTGAAACGTTAATTCTGATTTCTCCCCACAGATGCTGCCAGACCTGCTGAGCTTTTCCAGCAATTTCTGTTTATATTGCTGGACAAGTCAAATCCCGGACTGAAATCGTGCTTGATAGATCATACTTCGATGTTTTGGTTTTATCAAGATCGTCTTTCTCGGAAGCAAAAACATGTACTGTCGTAGATTTGTATTTAATGATAAAATGTAAGTATTATGCAAAGAAAATTGAAGATACAGTAGAATAAACCAAGCTATTTCCAAATAACACCTTTTTTAAGATTTTGAAACACACAGTAGAAATACAATCCCATTATTCCCAACAACATGCCATTACCGTACTCAAAACCTGAGAGAAATCCCTTTTGTATCCCACAAAGGGTTTGAAGTAATTGTGGCTTCAACTCCAAGCCATGAGAATCTGATGAACTCATCCTTGATTTGTCATATAACTGAGCATGAACTGTACCAACTTCAAATAACAACACATTCAGGGTTTTAACCAAGCATTTCTGGTCTGGAACTTTTTAACTAATCTTGTGCTGAGGTAGTCTATTTTGAACAATTCTAAACCATCCTCTCCCTCCCTCAGGAGCAACCATCTTACATGTCCAACTACAACTACAGCTAAGCACCCTGCAGAACTGCCCAGGCTGAAACTAAAAGGACCCCTTCATTTTTTTTTTTGCCAAGCTGAGTGTTTCCTGTAAGCAACCCCCCAAAAAATTCCCAAATCTTTTATCTGAAA